TTTAAATTATTGGTAAGTATGCTATGTAGATTGTTATCTAATAAAAACTTAGTTTAAATTTTGTAAAAAGGAGAGTTTGATTTAGTGAAGTTAGATTAAGTGAATAGCTGCAAAAAAAACATCTTCTTGAAAAGTAAACAGCCATTAAAAAACACATTGCAGCACTTTAAAAAAAGGTTTGTCCCACCAACGCTCTCAAATAAAGATCAGGGAATACCTTAAACCTTTATCAGCAAATGACGCCAAAACAGCCAAACAAGTAGCATTTTTTCAGTTAATTCTAATAAAGAGTTATATCTGTAAGGAACTATTAAACTTGCTAAAGCATTCGGTGTGGCTCCACTTAAAATTAACACCGATAATTTTTATTCCTAAATAATTTTTACATATATATTAAAAAAAAGTCTTACATGTTAAGAAATGAGACTAGAGATTTCAGGAAGTACACTTTTAACAAGTTTCTAATACCTATAAAAACAAATATTTTGAAAGTTTTACCTTTCGAAAGAATATTTATTATAAACATAAAATATGCATATTTTTGTTTTAGGTCAAAGTAGTGTCCAGCCACCATCAAGCGCTCCGAAATTTGCCACTCTAGCCTCTTTAAATGCACAATTAAATAGAGGCCTGTCAAACAACGGTTTAAAAACAAGTGTCAGAACAGTAAACCAAATATTAAGCAGCTAGATGGTAGTGTCGAATCATTACTAGAATTTTCTAAGACCAGGTCAATGCTTGAGTGATTACTAAGGCATTAGTAGTTCCCATAAAAGTTGTCAAAGTACCTTGCTCTTTCTGTTGAGAAATCGCCTCAGAACACTATTTTTTCAATACCTTCACTTCCAACAAGGCTGCAAACAACCACTATTAGAGTTGGAAGTTATTGGAGGAGAAAAGATGAAGTTTATTGAACAAAAAACGATTGACAGATGAATTAAAATATTACAATTTATATGAATTAGGAAAGCAAGATAAAGGAAGCAAATTCCAAAAAAATGATGTAAAGGAAAAAATTGATGTAAGGAAAAAATTGATGCAAGGAAAAAAACTGGACGAATAAGAACTATTAGAGCACTTAGGAACAATTACAATAAAAGGACGAGACTTGAGACCCAAGAGAATCGTGCAATGTAAGCCAAAAATATATCAATATATATATTTTTGGGCATCCATAATGGAATCAACCAAATAATCAGGAAAAAAAATTAAATAGAAAAAACACAAACTTTGCTTCCGACAAAATCAAAATTTAAAAAAAAGATGATTAGTTTTGTGGAAAATGAATTTTTTATGACATTTGAGAAAACTTATCCATCCTACGCAATTTCGTGTTTTTTAGTTTATTAGTTTATAGTTAATATTCACAAAGTACAACAATATAAAAAGTACAATTGGCTGGAGCAAGAAGAAGGCATAAATTAGCCTTATCACCGAGCCCCAATAGTAACGCAAGTAAATATCCATAATATATAATAATCCGTAATATATAAGCAATAGCATTAAAAAAAAAAACAATTTTAAGATGTTAAGAAAAAAAAAAAAAAAGTAATTGAAAAGTAATAAAATAATTGAAAAAAAAGAAAAGAAATGATTAAAATATAGTAATAAAAATGACAAAAATTTTCTGTTTTTAGTTATAAACTGAATGTGATTCCATATATGTATATTGTATATATTATTTTCTTTCAAAATAATTCAAAAGTCAAATTAAATTTCTGTTCCAATATCATAAAATATATCAAGAAAATTGTAGGTTCAAGAGTATATATTTTCAATGAAAGTATGATAAAGACATTGAAATTCTTAATATTGTTAAATGGTCTAGATTTTTAAATTTATGGTGCTAATTTAGTTTAATAAATTTTAAAATTTTAAAAGCGACTGAGAAGATCTGCTATATTAAAATCCGTAAGTACTAAATAACGTCTTAATTTATATTAGAATAAGAACATAACTTTAGATTATATTTTTGAGTTACAAAGTTATTTTCTGAGAACTTGGTGGGGTATTTATGGCTTACTTCTCTAAAATAAGGATAGAATATTGTTGGAGACAGTCCATGCTTTATTTGATACATGAACTGCATGACGAGGAATATGTTGATTTTAAACATATTTAATGCATTGAGTTTATGTAGAAGTGGCTCACAAGACACAGTTCTTTTTACTCCGAATATAATTCTACACGCATGTTTTTGTTTAGTATATATTTTCTATAACTTAGCGTAGCTGGTGCTTGCCCATACGATATTGTCGTAAGTTAGATAGCTATGTATAAAGAAAGAATAAAAACGTTTTAAGATCTTATATCCAAAAATGGGTTTGCTTTATACATCATTGCAATGTTTATTCTTTCAAGAGTGCTTATATGTTTCCTCCATGTTAAATTTTTGTCTAAAATAATACCTAAAAAGTTTACAGTTGTTTGTCTAATAATATTTATAATATTGATTTTAAGATTGGGTAATTTTAAAGGAAGGTTTCCAATTTTGGTTGGTTTGTGAAATAGATTAAACTTACTTTTGTTAACGTTAAGTGAAAGTTTATTACAAATAAGCCATTTGTTTACTTTGTTTACTTCTTCATTACCTACTTTAAAGAGGGTTTTAATATCCCTATAAGAATAAAACAGATTGGAGTCATCCGCAAGCAAAATAAAATTTAATATGTTCGAGGTAAGAGATAGATCATTTATATAAAGAGAAAACAGTAACGGTTCTAAGATTGAGCCTTGAGGAACCCCACATTTTATTATACTTTTTGTCGTTTTAACATTTCCATATTGAATTTATTGTTGTCTGTTTGATAAGTATTCTTTAAACAATAGTAAATTATTGTTTTTTATTCCAAAATGTTCAAGTTTTTTTAAAAGAATGACATGGCTGACTGTGTCAAAGGCTTTAGACAGATCAATAAAGACTCCTTATATAAAACGGTCATCATTAAAGGCATTGGTTACATGAGTTACTAACTCGGTCAAAGCGTGATCAGTTGAATTTTTTAAAGCCAAATCGCTTGTTGTATAACATGTTATTTACTGTTAAGTAGCTGTTTAGCCTATTATACATTATTCGTTCGAGTAACTTAGAAAAGCATGGTAAAATTAATATTGGTCTGTAATTTGAAGAATCTGTGTCATCGCCAGACTTAAAAATAGGGAATATGTTTGACTTCATTTTAACACAAATAATGTTAAGATTTAAAGCAACGTTTTAAGATCTATTCAATTTTCAAATTTCAAAAGGCAAATGTTTGAAGAATCCGTGTCATCGCCAGATTTGAAAATTGGCAATATGTTTGACTTCATTTTAACACAATTAATGTCAAAATTTAAAGCAACGTTTTAAGATCCATACAATTTTCAGTTTTTCATAAAAGGGTAAATCTTTCATAGTAAAATGTAAACAATCTTGCCCATTAGTACATAAATATTTTTGATTTTTTTTGAACTGCAAAGAGAGTTTAAATCTCATGTTGTTGTTTTGTGTGCCTTTTTTTTCTGTATTTTTCTGTTGAAGCTATGTAATTTATTCACTCATTAAATTGAAGATGCTCTCAGAACATTTTTAACAACTTTGTTTACTGTTTCGATATGCGAAAGAAGTTTCAGCAATCATTAATATGTAAAAAAAAGCTGTTTACAATATACCATAGAAAAGAAATGCTTATACAACCAGGGCCGCCGAGAAAGTTGGGCAAAAGGGACATACGTGCCCCGGGCGCCAAAATAATAGGGGCATCAAAATACGAAAGACAAAAAAAACTTAATGAGGGTTAATTTAGGTAAAAAAGTAAAAAATAATGTTTTTATTCATGAGATATAAAAGAAATTTACTTGGTATTGTGCGTAACAAGTTACTTTTATTTACATTACCAAAGAATTATATTTTAAATAGTAAAATTAAAAAAAAACTCAATTAGTTAACTTTATTCGCTAAGGCTTAACAACTCTCTAACGAGTGTTAAAATCTCAACGCAAATCAAATGTCTTGCCGTACCATAAAAAGAAAACAAAGTCAAGAATTATATCTACAAGCTGGTGTCTCTCACATATACTGTGCAAGTTGACGGAGAAAATTATCATGACGAGTGGTATCACTGCTGTTTGTGTTCTTCATCAATGACTTGCCAGACTGCATTTATGACCATACCAAGTTATATACCGATGATGGTAACATCATTTAAGTTATCGATGTCAATGGATTTTTCTCTAAGTATGAAAAACTGACGCAATCTAATTCCAACATTAAGCGTGACCTTGAAGTACTAATATCTAACAACCACAAAGTACAATTAAAAGCAGCAGCTTGGGTTGGCAATTGAATGCTTGGATGTCTCAAGAAGTCATTTCGGTATCAGAGCTCTCTAATTATAGAATAAACTCTACTAGCTGTATATAGTAAATATATATAAGATGTACTTTAGGCTTTCTCAACCGAATATACTCAAAGGGTCTATAGTCTATTTTCAAATCTAACTTCATTTTAATTCAAATTTAGCTTGTAAAAAAGCAAGAAAAGAGTGAATAAGTGTTATCAAGATGTTGTTCTTGAAAATAAGAATGTCAATTATCAGTATTAGAAATAAAAAAACAGTCATTAATTTGTATAATTGTACATGCTTTTAATTTAAAATTATGCATGCTTATAGGGGCGCCTAAATGCTGTAATGCCCTGGGCGTCATGAAAGCTCTCAGCGGCCCTGTATATAGTAAGGCTGTAATTTCAATTGAAAATGAAATAGATATAATTGACAATGATTTTGCAACTTTAAAATACAATAAAAATCATTATATTTGAGTTTTAATCAATTGACTTTTATATTTAAATTTAATTTTAGAAATTGAGTTATTTTTTGAAATATTTCCTAATTTCATTAAATAATAACTTAAAATAATACATAAGTAAAAGCAATGAATCGTAATCGTCAAGTTAATCGTAGACGCAAACGTTTCCGATACGAATGTGTAAATACCTAATAAATTACAGAATACAGGTTACATAAGCAGATTTGTGAGTATCATCTACCAGGTTTTGCTATTTTACGTTTATCAAACTTAAGCGTCTAGGTGGGTCGCAGGAAGTACTGAACATCTAACAAATAAGATCGAAATGAACATCCAACAAATAAGATCATTAAAAAAACTTAAATCAGTATGAATTATTTTAATTTAACAGAATATTTGCCATAATATAATAAATAAATTTTTTATTTTTATTCGACTTAAAAGCTGTTCAAAAATAACTTTTCTTTATATTAATAAATATTTCTTTATATAGAACTTAAAAATATTTCTTTGTATAGAAACTAAAATTTTAAGTCTATATACAACTAAAGTTAAATTTAAAATTATATAACTTATTAATTTTTATTTTATTTTATATTATTTATATAAATTGATATGAAGACATAAAGTTTAATTAGTAATCTACTATTATTTCTTTAGGTTTTAAATTTTAAATCAAAGTATTATTATTATTATTACTATTATTATTATTATTATTATTATTATTTTTATTTGAATTAGTTTTGATGTTATTTTAATGCAAAAGACAAATATTAAAGAAATAAAATAATATACATTTCATTAAAGATTTTAAACTTTTTTACAGATATTGATTGCCTATTTACATAAAAATAATATAATCTTTTTTAAAAAAAGTTTTTTTTTTCTGAGCTTATTAAAGTTGGTAGCTGTATTTGTTTTTAATTGTTAAGTGTTTTAGTAAAGACTTGATATATATTTGGAATCACAAACTTCTAAAAAACATTTTAAAAGTTTAAATTTTAAGTTATTTAAAAAGATGCGAGTCAATATCTCGTCTCACCACAAATAACAATTTTTCTGCTCTTTATTTTAGGTTTTAAAGTTATGTCAACTTTCAGGATCTCGCTATCAATCAACTCAGATTCAATCTTCAGAATTGGTATAACATTGTAAAGCCTGGCTACTATTTATAATAATAATATTTATAAATATAACAATTTTAAATGAATATAGAGATAAAATGGTTATAAATCTTTATGTATAAATAAAATTGAGGCCTGTTAAAATATACTCAATCATATCTGGTTAATTTGTCATAAAGTAATTAGTTTATTGATTTGATTTAAATATATACATATTTATATATGTATATATGTATTTGACTGTGTTTTTATATTGTTATCATTACAATATACTATTTTAAAACTTTTTATATTTTTTGTTTTGATGTTTAAAAATTTTTTAATTTTAGTTTGCAAGATTACAAGAAATTATACCTGAAAAAAAGAAGCAAGTTGCAGACTTTCGCAAGGAACATGCTAATACAAAAATCGGTGAAGTAACTGTTGGAATGGTAAGAAATAAAAGCCATTTGGTTTTTACTTTTTTTTATTTTTCTAAGTATTTTAATGTTACAATTTTATTTTTGAATAGGTTTATGGTGGCATGAGGAGTATCAAAGGTTTAGTTACTGAAACATCTGTACTTGATCCTGAAGAGGTAAATAATACAGTTAAATTTCTTAACTTTAATATTTTTCTACAACAGTTTTTAATTAATTAGAATTTAGTTCATTAAAATATTAGGTTTTTTATAATATACTTTGTTTAAACTTTTTATTTCATAATAGGGTATTCGTTTCAGAGGTTATAGCATTCCTGAATGTCAAAAAGTAAGTTATTTTGAAATTTTTAATGTTTTGAAATACATTAATATTTTAATGATAAAATAAATTGTTTCTTAGCTGTTACCAACTGCAGATGGTGGGCGTGAGCCATTGCCTGAAGGAATATTTTGGCTTCTTTGCACTGGTGAAATTCCTACAAAAGCTCAAGTATATGATTTTTTATGATTATAGTTCCATTCTTGTTTGGTTTATATATATATATATATATATATATATATATATATATATATATATATATATATATATATATATATATATATATATATATATATATATAAACCAAATAAATAAAGTTATTTTTAGCACCACCCTAATATATATGTATACATATATATATATATATATATATATATATATATTCACACACACACGTTTTGTTTATCTTTATAGCATTCCGTGTTTTTAGAAAAAGAAGAAAAAAAAAAGAATAGTAAAAGATAAGATTGCTGCCTCATGCCGAACCCTCAGTTTATGTAGCAGCACTCCTCTGTGAGTCAGGCTATTTATCAGTTGATGTATGTACTGAAGCCCCCGGCAGCAGGCTATTTCAGTGTGATGTCAGAGTCATCTAAAGAAGCAATTTAAGTTATAGTAATATTTGTTATTTATATACCTTATTGTATAAGTACAATAGCGTATACAAATTAGTTACAAATAAATAACAAAAGTTTTTCCTTCCTTTATTACAAATGGCATTTAAATAAAGAGGTAAATAATACAGTTAAATTTCTCAACTTTAAAATTTTTCTTAATTAATTAGAATTTAGTTCAATAAAATACTAGGTATATATATATATATATATATATATATATATATATATATATATATATATATATATATATATATATATATATATATATATATATTTATACTTATATTTTTATACTTTTCCTAAAAATATATTTTTTTATTTATCAACTCTTTTCTGCCAACCTAATTTCACATGATTTTGCAAAAAGAATAAGAAAAAAACATAGTATGGCTTCACCTAAACTCTCATTTAATGTAGCAGCAACTTTACATGTTATTTCTATGAATCTGCCTATCTAAATGTGCTTTGAAATTTATTTCTGTGTCTGCGTTTTTAACTTAAAATCAAAAAAAAGGAATTTAACAAGATTTTTTAATTATATATTTTTTTCTCAATGTTTTTTTGATGAGGATTATTTTTAAAAGTTTTGCTTCGTTTGAGGCTAAACATGACATACTTTTGAAAAACTTTTTTTATTAATAATTTTTGGGACATATTTAATGTTCAAGGGTCAGTAGCAACCCTTAAAAATATTGTAAATTCAGTATTATTTTATTATATAGAACATATTTAGGTGTTGCCAGCAAACACACAAATATAAAAGCACATTTAGCTAATGTGCTGTTTGTGTATATATATGTGTGTGTATATATGTATGTGTGTGTGTGTGTGTCTATATATATATATATATATATATATATATATATATATATATATATATATATATATATATATTTGTAAAAAATCACTTATCAAAATTTTTATTTTATTTTAAACTGTGTTATATGGATAGAGTCATCAGAAATGAATGATCAAATTAAAAAAACTTCAATTTATACCAAAAATTAAACTACAGGAAGTCATAAATGTTATAAATACTGTAAAATTTCGCACATTTGTAGAATATGTTGACAATAAGATGACATATGATGTTATTATAAAAAGAATTCTTAAGAATTGTTTACTGCTTTTTTTAAAAAACCTATAGTTATTTAAAGGGGAGATTTGATATAATTATTTTTTGAGGTCACTTATTTACACAATTAAGCTGTCATTTATAATCTAATATTAATCTAATTAAAAAATAAAATAAATAAAATACTAATACTAATTCTAACTAAATCTAAATAAAAAACTAATTATGAAATAGTTCAAAAAATTTAATATTCATAACATGTAACTATGTAAGTTGTGATTGATAATATATAAATAATATATAAATATATCAAATATATAATTAATATTTTTCCCATCAGGTTGATTCTCTTTCCAGAGATTGGGCATCTCGTGCAGAACTTCCTCAACATGTTGTAATGATGCTTAACAATTTTCCTGAGGATCTTCATCCTATGACGCAATTCGCAACAGCAATTGCTGCTTTGAACAAGGACAGTAAATTTGCACAAGCTTACTCAAAGGGTGTCTCAAAATCTGATTACTGGATTGTGAGTTTAACAAATGTGCTTAAATAATATAAAAGTTAAAATAAAAGTTTGAATGAAAAGGTTTTATAATATACATTTCTTAGTGTTATTAATATATATATTTTTTAAATTTTGTTATAATTTTAACATTGGTTTAATTTTTCTAATGATTAATCTAAATTAATTTCAATTTTTTTTACTCTTTCATATAATTATAGTATGCTTTTGAAGATTCGATGGATTTGATTAGCAAACTTCCTGTTGTTGCAGCATGTATATATAGAAACTTGTACAGAGATGGAAAGGTTTCTCCTATTGATCCATCTAAAGATTGGAGTGCAAATTTAGCAAATATGTTGGGCTATACCAATAGTGATTTTACAGAACTTATGCGGTTATATTTAGTCATTCACTGTGATCACGAGGGAGGAAATGTAAGTGCTCATGCAACTCACTTAGTTGGAAGTGCCCTTTCAGATCCATATTTATCACTTTCCGCTGGTATGTGTGGATTGGCTGGTCCTCTTCATGGTCTTGCTAACCAGGTTAAAAAGATATTAATGTAATCTAGTATTTAGCTTTTTTAGTGCCCTTTTATTAATGTGTATTTATTTATGTGTGTTTATTTATTTTTTGTTTGAAGGAAGTTTTAATATGGTTAAAAAAATTAGTTGATGATATTGGCTATGATGTTACTAAAGAACAGATGTTGGAATACATTCGCAAAACATTAGAAACTTCGGTAAGGAAGATTTTTCTATTTACAAGATATTTTCCAATGTTTTTTTATGCTATTTGATTTAAAAATTAATTATTTTAAATCCAGGTTATTCCAGGCTATGGTCACGCTGTGCTTAGAAAGACTGATCCTCGTTACACATGTCAGCGTGAGTTTGCACTTAAGCATCTTCCCAATGATCCTCTATTTAAAATAGTTGAAAAAGTTTACGATGTTGTTCCAAACGAGTTGCTTGCCCTTGGGAAAGTTGCCAATCCATGGCCTAACGTTGATGCACATTCGGGAGTTTTATTACAGGTAAATATTAATAAACGGATCAGTTTTTAAAATTAACCAAAAATGTATATTTTAATCTTTTTTTGTTGTTTTTGTTTAGTATTACGGAATGACAGAAATGAATTATTACACAGTATTGTTTGGAGTTTCTCGTGCTCTCGGAGTTTTATCTTCGCTTGTATGGGATCGTATATTTAGTTTACCTATTGAGCGCCCAAAAAGCATGAGCACCGAACAACTGATAAAAATGGTTAGAAAATAATGCTAAAGAATTTCCAGAATTATACGTTTTATATGTAAATAAACAGTTCAATTTATAAAAAGTCTTTATGATTTTGAAAATAATATCATTAGAAAACAAACGTGTATTAAAACGTGTAACATGCTATTATATTCATGCTGTTATATTCTGAACCTCTCTTAGGTGTTTATGTGGGAAACGAAATATTTCTTTTATTGTTTCTTTGATTTTATTGAGTTGTGGCTAGAATGGACTTGTATAAAAAATGTCTTTAAAATGTGTTAAGTTTTTAAAATATATTTGTTGACAAAAAATTATAATTAATTTTCTAATATGGTTAGATGTAGGTGGTAAGAGCAGGGCCGGTCCGAGAGTCCCCTACGAATTTTTTTAGTCGGCAAATTGGGCAAATGAGTCGGCAAAATTGGATTTATAGTTGGCAGTCGGAAAACAAGGATCTTTTTTTTTTTTTAAGTCAAGTTAGTGGGCAAAAAATTTTTTTTGGATTTAGTCGGCAAAAAACAGACACGGCCTAGCCCCCCCCCCCCTCCTTCCTTTAAAATCTCTTCAGGGCGGCCCTGGGTAATAGTGAATGTACTTGCCACTTGAGGTTTCTGCAAAATATATCATTAAAAAACTTTAATTTAAATCATGGTTATTTGTGTGCTGTAATTAAAGATATGCTAAGTGAATTTTCTTTATGTATAAAAATATTAACTCAATAAAATCTCAGGATTTTATAAGTTTAGTAAATAATAGAAAATGTAACAATTGCTAAAAGAAATCTTTTATTTTGTACTAAGTTTTCAAAGTGTGACAAAACCAAAATTTTGAAAATCATAATCATTGCTTAACAAGCACTGATATGATAACATGATAATAATTGCTTAACATGCAGTCAGAATATATCTTATTTTAAGATAATTTTGCGAGAAATTTATTTTAAATATATTGCGCTTCAATATATTTCGTTTAAGCGAAAATTTTTATATATTTATAAAACTTTATTATTTTTATTTCTTATTTTAAAAAACTCCAAGTTATTTTAATCTTTAAATAACTTAAATACTTTAATGTTGTTTTAAATATTTTGAACGAACACCGTTTATTTTGAGTGGTAAAATGTTTTCCAATCACATCATTTAAACCCAAAATATTAACCAATTTCAACCGCCTAAAATTATATATCATTAAATACCAGTATAGTATTGATATTGCGGTCAAAAAAATACTTAGCTTCCAAAACGAATACCATTTTAAATTCAATTTAGCTTGTTTCTCGTCATTACGTTTTTTATTTATAAGAAAAAACTTCAGGTTGGCTTTAGAATAACTTTTAATAAACTTAGGCTTTGAAATTAAATATTTTATTTTATTTCTTGTGATCAAGAAATAATATAAAATATTTAATTGTGATTAAATATTTAATTATGATTAACTTAGTACAAAAATGTCAAAATTAGTCAATTTTGAAAAAATAAATAGTTGATTTAATTGACTATGGAGTTCCTACTAATCAACTAAAAGTTGATTTAGTCAAGTAATAATCTTAACATCTTAATATCTTTTCATTAGATTTTCAATTAATTTTTCAATTTTCAATTTTTATTTGTTTATTTTAGAACAATAGGGGTGTGTGTGTGTGTGTGTGTGTGTGTGTGTGTGTGTGTGTGTGTGTGCCATTACAACGTTTTACAACTTAAAAAAGTAAAAAAAAAAAAAAATTCCGTTTTTAAAATTTGCCGACTGCCATAACGACATTTGCCGACTGACTGTCTAAGTTTACCGACTGATTTGTCAAAAGGGTCTACATTTGCCGAATAATTAGTCAAAAAGGCTCAAATTTGCCGACTAAATGAACGAAAAAATCATTGATAGAAGGGGAGGGGGGGTCACACCTCCATCGCGCCTGCCTTGACTATTATAACTACAACAAACTGTTTTTTGTTTATTCACGTTTCACAGTAGCAATATTTGTATCTAATTTTTTTTCAAAGTAGTTCAGTCACATTTTTATTGTTTTAAGAAAAAACATATTGCTATCAGACAAAATGTTTTTTTTAATCCCAATTTTGTATCATTAATAAAGATTTTTTTTTTTTTTAATTTATTTTGCTGTTTAACAAAAATAATCAACATACATTTATAAAAGAAAGAAAGAAATATGTCCGTAAACGAAGAAGACAGTAAAATCTTGTCAGCAAGCACCATTTTTATATATACAATATATTATATAATTTTTTCTTATTATATTGATCTATTTAAAATAAAGAATTAAACAGACAGGGGCTCAAAGAAGATTTCATAGAGCCCCTATATATACTTTCAGTAGATTAAAGATATTATATTAATAACTCCAGTGGACATAAAACTACTGCGCTGATCAGTAAATCAAATAATTTCGCATGTGAGTGCAAATAGACGATAACTTTTATAGTCTTTTTTAACTTTAAAAAAAAAAAAACTTGACTTTTTTTATTACGAAATTTAACAAAAATTTATATCATGTTTTTTGAAAGAAATTTAATCTAATCAAATAAAAAGTTAAAAATTACTTAGCTATAATTAAACTTTCATTCTAAAAAAATATAAATGAAGGGTCGTCCAAAAAGTACGTACGCATTTTGCAACACGCTTTCTCGAGTATTCTCCACCTCCCTAAAAGTATCTACGCTTTTAAAAAATATCATAAAATGTTAGATAAATATCTAACATTTTATGATATATATTTTTTTAATTTAGCGTTTTTTTTCTTTTATATTTGACCCACTGCCCTCCTATTTCATATACGCTATTTGCAGACCCCCTCTTCCCCTCTGTGCGTATGTACTTTATGGACAATCCCTAATAATAACGAGCCACTCGATAGAAATAATAATAACGAACCACTCGATAACAATAATAATAACGAGCCACTCGATATATATATATATATATATATATATATATATATATATATATATATATATATATATATATATATACATATATAATACGAATGACGAATGTACACTGTGTTAAAATAGATATTTAAATTTAAATAAGAAATATAAAAAATCTTTAAATTTTGATTAAATTTTTTTATTATTATTAAACGTGCACGTAGACTATAAATAAAGTCCGTTCGCAAATAAAAAACGTGCAATCAGACACTCTGATACAAAAACGTGCAAATAGAAACTCCGATACAAAAAAACAGGCGACAACATTTAAGAAATAAAGTAAAGGAAGTGAATTTTTTTGTTCAACTTGTAAAAAAAAATATTAAAAATGACTCTAAGTACTTTATGAATAAAATATTCTTCTGACCAATAAAAAGATAATCAAAGTTTAATTTAAAAAAACTTATAAAATATGTAATGAAAAATAATTTACTGCAAGATGCTAATTTGCTTATGAAGATGAAAAGTTTTGCTCTTGAAAAACAACTGAAGAATTGATTAATAGTTCAACCAAGTTAAAAAGCAAAATATTTGTAACAAATAATGCACTTGTCTTATTGTCAAAGACTAACAAAAAATAATGGTGGAGAACAAGGGTAGATAACAAGGGTGGAAACAAGGTTGGAGAACAGGTACACCAAACGATGGTAACACCGATTTGCCTATTTTTCATCAATTTAGTGTCTCAGCTAAAATAATAGGTGCATATTATGATATCGTGTAGTTATTATATTAATTTGTTAAAATTTAGGGAGCTCCTTTGTAAAACTGTTTCTTTATATGTATACCTATGCCTATGGTATTCAATAACTCAAGCACTTAAAAAAACTTTAATTTATTGTTTTCTAAAGAGTCCTAAGAAGTAAAGCTGGTAAAGTTTTTAATACGGTTCCTAAAAATTAAAAAGAAATACTTTTTTTTTTTCTCATTTTGAATAGTTATTAAAAAAAGGAAGTTTTGATAAAATTATAGCAGTAGTGGACAAATGTAGTTACTTAAAGTTTGCATGATTCTTATTGAGTTTTTGTGTTTCTTTTATTTTGAAGGATCAGAGTTTTTTAATAGAGGTTAAAGGCTGTCATTAGTTTTTAACAATAAAAAGCTAAAAGCAAATAAAAACTACACCAATGAAAAAAAAAAAGTAAAAAAAAAAACAACAAAAAACTAAGATCAATATAATGTAAAGCTTGAAAAATTACTTAATATGCAATATTAAGTAATTAACATAATTTTCTGCTTGCTCATAAATTATTTACTAAGAAAAAATAAATAAATTGAATAATCAGCCTCCGATGGATCTATTTTTTAATAAATGAATTTTTAATGTTATCAAAATATTTTTTTTTTCACTTTTGTTGATTTTTACAGCCCTATTTTAACTGAAGTTAAATCAATCTAATTTTTTCTTTTTAAATAGAAATAATTAAGTACTAGTTGAAATAATATTAAAAAAGTCCAAATGTTGTTTTTCTATTTTTATATGAAAGTTTAGTTTTATAAAACAAACTTAAATTGCATTTATGAAGCTTTCATTGTTCTTGTCGAAAGTTTTTTTATAACAGACGCCGCACAGTGAGTCAGAAAGGTGAAGAAACGGCAAAAATTATAACTATCATATATATACATGTCATACATCAATGTGATACAACCGTATTTTTGGTCACAAAATTTAAATTTGCTATTCAAAATAATTTTTATGCGTACCTAATACGCGTACTACGCTCGCTTACGAGTGTACGTGTCATTAAAAATAAAAAAATTAGATTCTTTGATCCAAAATACCACATATTTTTTAATATAAATTTTAGTTGTGTCTAAGGCTCGTACTACACATGTGTATACGTGTGAGAGTCTTTTACGCGCTCAAAGAACGACTTAATTTTAAAAGATTATATTCTTCAAACCAAAACATTTACTGATTAAAAAGAAAAATTGGATTCAAAAAATCAAAATACAGCTAAATATTATAATAATATTAAAAAATATTAAATACAAAATAAATTTTTATCTTATCTAATTTTCTTTCGAGAAAACAAAAAAATAAAACCTTGTATTAATAAAAAAAGCTTTGTTTTATTATTATGACATTAACAAAGATAAAACTTCAGGGGTAAGCATTTTTCCATTTTTAAACTTGTATTTTTTGAAAAAATGTTTGATATTAAAGGATCACCT